GAAGAGTGATAAGACCCTTTGCCCCTAGAGAAAGAAGAAGACCTCTGTTCCCAGAGATGAAGATCTCAGAGATAAAGAGAACCTTTGTTCTCAAACAGCTCATCCTTAAAATAGTACTCCATAAGTTGACATGGCCCATAAACACAGCTGTGGGAAAAGCTGTGAAAAAAGGGAGAGACTTCACAATTGCAGATTTCTGGGCGGCTGCAGTTTGTAGAAATTAAAAACCATGAGAGAACTGTTTTCTTGTGGAGGAGTCTCCATAAATTGAGAAGAGGGACTCCTCTCCCTAAGTGAAGACTGTTCTAGAAGTGATAAACTGACTGAATTGTTTCTGTGCATTGTTAGTGGGAAACAAAAGGTTGTAGGGGAAGAAGTGTTCTAAAGGTTTTATTATGATTATTCTTTTTTTTAGTTACTGTTAATAAAGTTTTCTTTATACCCTTTTAAAGTTCTGAGCCTGCTTTACCTTCCTCCTAATGCTATCTCACAGCAGGGAATGAGTAAATCTAGGGGTTACATAGGCATTTGACCAACACTAAAAACACCACAAACTGTAACAATGTACTCATAGGTATACTGAAGAAGTCAAACTCAGGACCCTTACAAAGAAGACCTTGCCAACTAACCTTTGAATTCCAATCCCTGAATTTCAAATTCTGCTCTGGGAGGAAGGTGACAGATGGCCCTGAGATAACTAATGCTGTGTTATTCAAGGATTTATCAAGCAGAAGACTTGGGAACACTTATGCTAGACTCCTACTACCCAACACAGACTACAGAACATGTAGATATACAATTTATCTTGAACTAAGTGAATACCTTGTTGTTGTTCGTTTTTTTTGGGGGGGGGCACCCCGGGGTGTCCCCGGAGGGCCCCCTAGGCTGTGAGTTGGCTGGCAGCAGCAGGCAGGCAAGGAGACTCCACACGGCTTCTGAGGGTGCTGATTAGATGAGGGTTTATTGGGGGTCCCATCCCCGGGAACAGCATGGCTACTGAGGGGGAAGGGGGAGGGGGAAGGAGGGGGAGCCTAGGGGAGGGAAGGGGCAAGAGGGAAGGAGAAGGGCTAAGAGAGGGGGAAAAGGCTAAGAGAGCGACTAATTTTACTAGCATAGCTTAAGAGGGAGATTGAAGTGGGCGCAGAATCAGACTTGGGCCAATGGGATTACAGGTACATGATGGTTCAGGGCAGGACCACAGGCTTAGAATATACCATACATTTCAGAGGGGTGAGACAGCATACCATTTAAATAAAATGCAATACTGCAATATCTCACTTGATTTTACTGGGGTATTAGTTCAGGAAGTATTTCAATCTAGGGCTAAGCCCCTCTTATTTGCAGACAGGCTGAGTTGTTCAGCCTGGGAAAAAGAAGATTCCAGGGAGACATTCGAGCACTTCCTATATCTAAAGGGGGTCTACAAGAGAGCTGGAGAGGGACTTACTAGAAGGGACAGGACAATGGGGAACTTAATAGTGACAGGACAAGGGACAATGGCTTTAAACTGAAAAAGGATAGATTTACATCACATATTAGAAAGAAGTAAATCACTGTGAGGGTAGTGAGGCACTGGAACAGGTTGCCCAGAGAAGCTCTAGATGCCTCATCCCTCAAAGAGCTCAAGGCCAGGTTCGATGGGGCTTTGGGCAAGCTGGTCTAGTGGAAGGTGTGCTTTCCCATGTCAAGGGGTTTGGAACAAGATGATCTTTAAGGTCCCTTCCAGCCCAGGACATTCTATGATTCTGTGAAATACCCTGAAAAATTGCTGGGGTTGTGCAGTAGTAAACATAAGCACAGTTGCAGTCAACAGGGCTTTTCATTTTCATATTGAGAGGGAAATAACCTTTTCTCCACAAACTTTCTTGGCTGAGAGTTAGGACACCCACTTAGGACATCCTCTTTACAATATTCCTCCCACAGTCTCTGAGAAGAGCTAGATTTCTGGCAGCTTGGCCTCCAAGCATCCATATAGATGAATGGGAAAGCAGAGCTGTAGTTAACTCCTCATCTGCTGGCAGCCAGGCAACCCTCTGCTGCAAAAACCTGGTAGCAACCTGGTACTTGAAGTGCCAGGTTTGCAAGCAAACTTGGCCAGGATTCTGCAAGTTAATGATGTGTCATTTTCTTGTTCACCTTTCCAAAGGTTTCTCTTCTGGGTAAAAAGATGACAAGAAAGTGCAGGAAATAATCCTCTGTGGCTAAATGAAAAGAACTGTAGATGCAACTGTTAGTAAAATCTGCTCCAGAATGTTGCTTCTCCATTCTGAATAATGATCATGAATGATAATGAGCCTTCTTCCAAGCTAGAGATATGCAAGAGGTTTTGCAGAATCAAGGTCTCAGTGTATATTTGAGGGCCCTGATTTAGGAGTGGGAATAACTTGGCATAAAATTACTATTCACAACATTCTCTGTGGACACCGTGGACTTTGATGAATTGAATCTGGAGCCAGCAGCTTGTAACCTGGCATGGTCCTGTGTGCCTTTAAATACACTCTGAAAACCAGGGGCTTCAGAAGCTGACTCAGAGCAGCTCCAACAGCTGTGTAGGAAGCAGAAAGCAGGGAAGGGCAATCTCCAGCCCTCTCAAACACAGTTATTTCAGACTGCCACTCACAGCTCTTGCTTTCATTTTTTATCTCCAAATACCCCAGTCCAGCAGGCCTGTATGTTCCAACGATTTCATACATTGATGTAATTCCACTGACTTTAAGTGTAACTTAAAGCAAACATTACCATTTCAGTTTGGGAAACCATAGCTGGTCACCAGAGATGCTGCTCATTCTTTTTTTAAACAGAAGAGTTATATTAAAAAGGCTAAAGAACACTCAGTGGCTAAAAGTACTCCTCATTTATTTGAAAGAATAAATGTTTTGTTTTGTGTAGCTGACTCCGATTTCACCAATGTTTCTTTTACAAATGATACATGAAGATGCAGTCTGAAAATATCTTTCAGTGTATTCAATATGAAAATCCCATCATTGCAAGGAGGTCTTGGCGTCATGAATTTCAACTGCCGACAGATTTTTTACAGCACATTTTCAAAAAGCACTTCTAAGTCTAAGAAACCTTGGGGAAAACATTTTAAACCTCAGAAAAAAAAATTCACATTAATGAGAACTTGCATAAAGCTTCCTTAACAAACTCTGAAATACTGATGAACCTCTAAGGTAGACTCTTTTACCCTAGGATCTGGCAGCAGGGCTCGAGTTGCCAATAAACAGTACCCAGGGCATGCTGGGCAGTGTCAGTTTCTAAAAATGGGTGCAGAAGAAAATGACAGCTGTTGGAGGGCAGGCAGGAACAGAGGAACACACCGATACAGGGGCTGGGCCCCAGTGATCTCTCAAGAAGAGCTGTGGGCCTTGAAGTGAAGTGAGAATTAACCAGGTAAGGAATTCAAGGATCTCCTTTACTGCAATCAATACAGGAACTGGCAGTTTAAAGTGCCTAAAGTGCCTAAAGACTGCTATCTTGTCTGTAAAATGGATTTTGTAATATAAAGAATTTAAATGAAAAGTCTACAACACCTACAAGAATGATTACACTAGTACCTATAATTTCTAGATATGTTCTACTGAGAATTGAATCTAAAGTGTACAGAAAAGGATTCTCTGAGCTCAGCTCAGCAGGTAGGGGTGATAGAATATTCTGAGCCAGAAAAGACCCACAAGGATCATTGAGTCCAACTCCTAAGTGAATGGCCCATACCCCCTCTCTCTACTAAAGATTATTTCACCAAAAGCAAAAAAGATGAGAAGTGCACAAGTTAGAGACTGTTGACAGAGGAAAGGAAGATGAAAAGAGACAGAAGGAAACAGAGGGAGCAGTTTCTACCGAACAGGCTTTCACACTCTTAAGTCTTTTATATTCACATAAAGCTATAATCATTTGGCTTTTGATTTATGATTTATTCACACAAAGATTAAAGTCCAACTCATGTCATGAAGGCATTTTACAAACCTTTATGGCGTTCTTACTGTATTTATGCCCTACTACAGCTACTGAAACTTGAGTGTGTGCTTAAAATACTACAAATACTTATTTGCTGAATTGGTATTCAAACCTATATAGTAAAAAGAAATGTGCTGACGTGCTTAGAACTTAGCTCTACGTGAACCGCTCTAAGGTAAGGCATCCCACGTGTTAGCAGTTCCGAACGGGGGAGGGGGGAACTGGATATGGGAATGGGACAGCGCTTCAGTGCAGCCCCGTAGCGCACACACAGTCGTGGCTTTGGCGCGCTGCGGCTGTCACAATCTCCTTGTCCCGGCCAGGCTGCAGCCCGAGCCCGCCGCGCGCAGAGCAGCGCGATCGGCTCCTCCGTGCGCATCCATCCCGGGAAGCCAGCACGCGCTCGGCTCAGGGAACGCCGCGCCTCCAGCCCGCGACAGCAGCCTGGGAGGAAAAACACCGCGGCCGCGCCGACCGACAAACAGCCGAGTGCAGCGAGGCCGGAAAGGAGACATAAAAAGCTGAGGCGTGGGGAGGGTGAGACAAAAAACAAAAAAGTCGGAAGCAGTGGGGAGACGGCACGGAGATGCTCTTGGGAGCGCACCGCGCGCTGCCGCGACGCCCGGCGCTCCCGGTCAAGCACCCTCCCGGCGGCGTCCCTGCGAGCGGAATCCCCGGGCGCGCTCCCGAGGCCGCGGGACCCGCCGTGCCCGCTGCGCCGCTTCCCTCCCCGCCGCGGGATTGGCCGGCGCGCGCCCCGCCCTCCATCCCGCCCCTTCCCCTTCCCCGCGCCGGGAAACCCCGTCCGCCCCGCCTCCTCCGCCTCCTCCGCCTCCGGTTGGAAGAGCCGGCTGTCAATCATCTGCTCCCCGGCGCGCGGCCCAACTCCCGCGTTCTCCCCAGGCCGCCGCGGGCGGAGCGGGGGGCGTTCCGCGCTCCTCTCTCTCCATTGGTCACTCTGGGCCGTCAATCACCTCTCGCCGCCAACCGCGGCCGCTGCCACCGCCCCCGCCCCGCCTCTCCCCCCTCCCAGTGCTCAACTCCGCTCGCTCCGCCAAGTTGCGCGGCCGCTGCCCGGCGGCTCCGGGGTTCTGGTGGCGCCACGCGCGGCGGCCCCCGGCGGAGCGCGACCAGGCGGGATGACGGCAGAGGCGCGGGGAGCGCCCGGGAGCGGCTGAAGGCGGACAAGGGGCGCGTGGAAGCGAGCGTCTGAAGCCTAGGGGCGAGTCCGGCTGATGACAGCGGGCTCGACTGAAGGGGACGCGGAGCGAACGAAGCGGGAGCGGGGCAGCGGCGCCGCCGAGCCCGTCCCGCGGCGGGTCGCGCCGCGCCTGCCCTGAGGACAGCGGGACCCCAGGAGGGAAAGTTTGGCGCTCGCCCGCCCCCGCCCCGCCGGGCAAAGTTGTCTTTGGGTTTGTTTGTTTGTTTTCCCTTTCCTCCTCCTCCTCCCCCCTTCCGCTCCCCCGCCGGCTCCGCGCGGGGAGGAAGCGGCGAGGGAAGCAGGAACTGAGGAGCGACCCGGGAGCCTCCCCAGCGCCCGGCAGAGCCCGCTCCGCTCCTCTCCTCGTCGGTGCGGTGTGTGAGGGCAGCCAGGACTTCGTTTTTGGTGGTGTTTTTTTTTGGTTTTTAATTTTTTTTAAATTTTTTTTTTTAAAGCTCCTTTGTTTTTTGCCCGCCCGCTTCTCCCTCCGGTGCAATATATGCTCGTGGAGAGCCGACCCGCCGCCCAGCCATGTCGGCGGCCATCTCTGCCGCGGAGAAGGTGGATGGCTTCACACGGAAATCGGTGCGCAAGGCGCAGAGGCAGAAGCGCTCGCAGGGCTCCTCGCAGTTCCGCAGCCAGGGCAGCCCGGTGGAGCTCTCGCCGCTGCCCCAGCTCAAAGGTACGAGCCGGCCCTCCCGCCCTCCCCTCCGGCTGCAGGTGCCGCTGCCCACACAGCCTGCCCTGGCTCGGCCCCTGCCCCGCGCCCTCTGCCCTTTAGCCGTGTCCTCCCCTGCCCTCGGTGCTTTCCAGGTAGGGACCCGCGGCAGGAATTCCTCCTCCGCTCTCACAAACCAGCGCCGCTGTCCCGGGCGCTGACTCCACTAACTCGCCACCCCCCTTTTCTGGTTGGTTCGCATGTGTTTTAAGGTCTTACTGAGGAAAATGTAGCCGATAAGTTGAGTTCAGGCGTGCAGGCAGTAGTTGAGCGCTAGAACCTGGGAGCGGGCAGTGGCTCCTCCCACGGAGGGTTTTGCGAAGGGGAGCTCTGCCCGTGGCATGGCATCCTGAGTTACCGGGGAGAGTCCGCCTTCGGCTGCTCCGTGCTTTCGCACCGCTCCCGGACGGTGTTGGAACGACGTTTTGCTGCTCTCCAGGAGCTTCCTCCAGCACAGTGCTGTGTGGAGACACTCTCAAGTGAATGAAAAATCTGGATGCTGGCATTGCTGAAACAGAAAACAGGCAGTGAAGGTTTTATCCCCTGTGTTGCCACAAAAATTTGAGAAGGCTCAGTTCATTAGGTCACAGAAACGAAGTTCATTGCAACCTTCTACGTCGTTGAACATTAGAATACATTTCTGTGTATTTTTAAAATTATGAGTAGGAAATGTTGGAGAGGGAATACAAAACTTGTTATTAAAGCATTTGTCAGAGACTTGAAAAATAAGGGAGAGCGATTGCCTTAACGTGACCTAGCATGTTAATTTTGCTTCCACTGGCTTTAACGTCTTAAGGCTTTTGTAGCTGCATCATATGATGGTGGAAAAAAAAAATCTGATTTGCAGCAAATATCCAAAATCTGAATAAGATATAGCAAACTTAAAAATATTCCTAGGTACTAAGTTGTTTTTGGTTTTTTTCAGTTTGATTTTTATGGCATTTACAATCATGTCTCTAGTATTTCAAGGCTGTCACGTTTTCCTGCTCTTTGAGTGACAGATGTACATGAATCATAAATCTGGCTCTTAGCAGAAATGTTACTGACTAGAAATAAGCTTAGGCAGGGGAGTAACAAGGGCAGGGTTGTTTGTTTGTTTTTAACATGTTTTTTTGCAGTGGTTTTTGGTGTTAGTTTTAACAACAGCAGGGGTTTGGGCTTTCCTTCCTCTATGAAAGTTGGCTCCTGTCTTGGTCCACTGCTTTGATATGAGGGATTGATAACCTGGATAATTTATTTGAAATCAAGATTCAGTTTCTGCTGTTTCCATGCTCTTTAGTCAATACATTTTCATCAGAGCTGAGTTTGAGAAACCACACTTGAGAGTTTGTAAAGGCCCTGTGTAAATGCTGCGCATAGGTGGCAGACTTCAGAAAGTTTGAGTCCTGGTCCAGCAAACAGTTAAACATACGTGTGTTATGCAGGGAGCAATTCCAGCTTAAATCAGCAAAATGTTCAAGTTTACATTCTTTGCTGAGCTGGGACTTTAATATTAAATTTTTAACTCTGCATTATTAAGTCTCGTAGTTTTGTGAGAGTGGTTTTACAGCTTTTTACTTGTAACACAGAGAAATTATGCATGGCATCAGCCGCTCAGATGTTTGGAAATTTGAAGCCACAAACCAGCAGAGGAATTTCTACAGTTATGCAGGGTTTTATAGTAGTTTGAATCGCCTTATTGCCTTAAGTTCTTAAAGGAAAAGCTCTTCAGTCTTTATGCTTATAATTCAGATGTGAAGTCTTGCCTTGGAGACCTACTTGAGAACAGAAATTGTGGGTAAAATATACTTTTATGAGCTGTAGTGTCCCAAATAGCCAGCTTGCAGAAAGTCAAGCAGCACTCCTTTTGCTTGTTTTTGTGCCTTAGGTTTGTGATGTTAGATTTGTCCTGAACATAGCTGTGGGCATGGGATGGTTTCTTTTCATAATGCTCCCTCTTTCCCTTTTCCTCTTAAACCTTCCTTGCCCCTGAAACCAAAAAAGGCTCTAGAAGGAGTTTGCTCTCTCTACAAATGGATTGTTTAATACAACTATTTGTTCTAATCACATGTGTCTTGGGAAGATAAATCTTTGCTTTATTCTTGAAAGATGATATGGAATTCAGCAATAGTTTTGATACTGCCAGTGTAGTATCATCTACAGAATCATGAGCCAAAATTCCCAGGGATGGGCTGGAAAAGGAAAATACAGTAATTTTAGTGATGCCTGTGGGTGCTCAGCATACACTTAGTAATTAGAATAAGTTTTTACTTTTACAGACCTTTTCAAATGTTAAACCTGAGGTATATTAAACCTGTATTGGGGGAAAATGGAATATTTTTAGATGAAAAAGCAGTTTGGTATGCTGCTGTGAAATATTTAATGTTGTTTAGAGGTATTGTCTTGTTTCATTGCTTCTAAGTGATAATATTCTAAAATAAGTATAAACAGTATTTTAAAACTCCCCAGTAGGTTTACCAGACTGGCCTAAAACACTTGCATCTATTTTACTGGAAGGAGAGATGTTCCAGAAGAACAATAGAAATTACCCATCACTTTAGAAAGTACCTTTTTCGGTAGAGAGTGTTGTGCGATTTTTCCTTTTCTATAGGGGCTGTTTTGTTCTCCACTGGAATGGCCAACTCACATGGTGAGACACACTTTCAGAGTTGTATTGTTTCAAAGCCTTTAGACAGATAATCTTAAAAATATGTATTTCTGCTCTGAATTACCAAAATTCTGTGCTTTGGCTGTTTATTTCTTCTATCAGTGATACATCACATCTCTTACTAGCAAGTAACAGTCCCCAGTAGGAGGAACTCTTCCCTTCAGAGGTGTTTTTGGAGGAGTGAGATGGAGAGGAGGAATGGTAAGACTGTGTTGTGATTAACATTCAGCTTATCTTTGGGTGTGATGATATCTATCTTGTGTAAGTGAAAGTTCAGCAAAACCTGACTGATGGCAGAATACTCAAAATAATTTAGTAATTTGTTCTTCAGTTAATTTAGGAGATTTCCTAAAGCATTTTTATTTAGGACAGTGTCCATCTTACTGTATAATTTAGCAACTGAATAAGAAATACTGAGGACACACTGATTATATTTAAAAGAAAAAGGGATTGGGGGGTGATTAAACAACCTTCTTTTCATTTTGTTACCTAAAGTTTGCATAATAAAAGGACTTTGAAGAATCTTCAGACAAAGCAATGTGCTGGAACACAGCAGGACTTTGTAATTTCATGGACAATTCTGAGAGTGTTGCTTTTAAAGAAATCTAGCAAAGAGTATTATTTTTGTTGTCTTAAGAAGTGGTAATTTTGTCCCAATAGGAGATTGTTTTGAGAGACTGCAATAGAACATGGCAGTTACCTTCATTTTTGAAAACAAGATGCAACTTGACCTTGGAACCTGATCTGACTCTCTCCAGGAGTTGTGTGCATGCTTGTCTCTGTCACTTTTAGTTGAAGCAGCATGTAGAAATGCAGGTGGAAAGTGGTAAATATAAAACACAACTTGTTGCTTTTATTTAGTACAGTTAATATGGCCTGTCAGGTTGTAAAGCAAATAGATTTTTTTTTTTCTTCTACGTACCAAACATGTCAACTGCAGCTGGAAAGAATAAACGTTTCCTGATGCCTCTTACCCTCACAAGAGAAGAATTGGAAAGTGTTCCAATAACCTTTCAGCATGGACTAGCAATAGTTGGAGGGATCTCTGTGGGGCTGAGAGTTGCAGAGGAGGAGTGTTCTGGAATGAGAAGACATTAAGAAGATCTCCCAGTGTGCAGTGTCAGCATTCAAATACAAGGTGTAAAATAGGTGTTAACTCTGGTTATTTTCTTTACTTAAACCCTTGAGAGAGAGCTTGGCTTTGGCTGAAAACTGGTTGCTGTTTTCAAGCTAAGTTTTTGTGGGAATGTTGCAGAGAGGCCTGGTAACCTTGCTGATAGGTAAAATTTTAATGTTATTAAATCTGAGGATCAGTTCAAGCCTCACACTTTGAATGCTTTTGAGTCACATAGTGTGTGCTTCAGAGTGACATAAAAAAGTGGAATTAAAAACAGCTGAGAGGAATTTTCTTGTCATATTAAGTTGTCTTTGCTCCCCAAGGGAAAATGAGCTTCAAAAGTTTTAGAATGGTTTACTTTTAGTACAGCCTTAATAAATATTTATAAGTGAAAGGACAGTTTTCTCTCTCAGATTTGCACTTGTGTTTTTGTGTCCCTCATGATTCATTGTTATTTCCTCTTCTATAGTCCCCCATCCTCCACCTTTTGTATTCAACATCCCTTGCAACTGTAGTCATCTTAGATGAGTTTTTCCTTAAAAGTGAGAATCTTTAATTCAGATGAAGAATGAGGATGTTCTGTGAGGAATTTATGTTTACCTCTTACTATAATCTCAGCAGGACGTACCATGAAGTAGTCAAAACTTCCTTTTTAGTGAAGTTACAGTCTTGAGAAATAAACAAGCTACAACAGATGAAAAAGCTGTAGTAGTTCCATGAAAAATGAGCTGTTTGAATTTTTTTCTATATTAAGGAACTGTTCCTAGTTTATGGAGTGGAACATTTTGGTTTTTATTCTTAATAAATTGACCTTTTTATCCGTAGACTTGAATTTTTTGTCTTAGAATATACTCCCATCAAAAGCAACTCCTAAATATAGAGCCTATTGACTGTCTTCACATGAACTTTTCTATTTCAATCTTTCACATCTTCCGTGTGCCAGCTTAGTATCAGATTTCTTTTTCCATATTCATTGCTTTCTGGTTTAGTCAGACAGTAGTTTTGCAGGTGCTGAATTTAATGTTAGTTGCTGTAGGAAATACAGATGGAATTAGTTATTGCTGCAGGCTATCTGATCAAGAGAATACTTCAATCTATAGATTTGAGGGGTCTGTCTATCTTAAAATCATTCAGTGATTTTGAAAAGGTGTCATATCAACAGTTCTGGACAGATTAATATTGTTTTAAAGCACAGAGGTG